TTTTTTTTGCAGAAATAATTTATAATGTGAAATAATGAGTTGTCATTAACTGTAAGCCATTATCATCAAAATGAACACAAACACTTTAATTTAATTACTAAAATAAAATAACTTCTTACTCATGTCGTGTAATTTCTTCAGGATCTGTTGATGAAACTTTACGTGAGGCAAGTTTATGAAACCAGAATGACTGAAAGGGAGTAGCTGCAAAGATCATACATGTAGTTTTGTCATGCTTGCTTGTATTAAAATATATTTTTAAGGGTGATACATGAGAAAGCATAAAACCAATAAGATATACTCTGATCCTTTTCATGCTAGTTGTTTAGTAAAATAAAACATGATGCATACACGATCCCAGCTTTGATGTTGCTGTAACAAAAAAAAAAATGCTTGAAAATCTGCATCACATGATGTCACAGCTCTAATATTTCTTTAAGCCTCTCATTCGAAATCCGATTTTGCAGTCGCTTTCATTTCGGAGTTCACGTGCGGTTGTAGTGCTCTCCGTTGCCAAGCGAACTGGGCTTTGGCACGGCTCGGTGAATGGCTGAGTCCTTTCAGCGCAGAACCTTCATGCTGTGGAGACAGAAGGCTGCGTTCAGAGGCTACCTCTCTCCAATAATCCCCTCAGGAGGAGCTTTGGACTGCGTCGCGCAGAAGTGGGCGGATGGAGATGCAGAGCGAGTGTGCCTGAAAGAGTTAGACGTGGGTGGATGTTTGTGTCCTGGTGAAACAGCAGGGTGTGTGCATGTGTGTGTCTGATGTGTGTGTGCTGTGTTCAGAGTCTGAATTGGAGAACATAATTACATGTTCTGTTTTTGGACTGGGCTCATTTGCACCAGATTTTTTTGCAGCACATAGAATAAGTGGTGACAAGGTTGGATTTGAATCCTCTGAGAAAAAATATTCAGCTTTTGCCAACTGCGCCAGAATTTCATCAACTTCACCAGATTCATGTAAAGGAATATTTCGGACCTTTCAATTAATCATTCAGTGCTTTTTCTAGCGTTTAATGTTGAAAAAAGATGCAACTTCTATGTTTTTTTTTTTTTTTTCCCTTTCTTGAATTTTTTTACTACTAAATTTATGTTGTGTTAATTTCTCACAAGCACTGTTGTTTAGAAGATCCACACCTTCACCTTCAATAGTTTTAGTTATTCTGCTCCTTATAATGCAAAATTGATTATTCCTGCTTTAGAGTCTCTTTGTGTGTTATTATCATAGTAACAACTTGCTTAAATGCATCTTGGCGGATTTAGAAAGAGCTTAACTCCTCATGAGAAGTAAAACAAAAACACTGAGCCAGTGTTGACTCAGTGGTAGTATTGTCAACATTATTGGCTATCATTTATTATGGCTCAGTATTTTTCAAACAACATAAAGCGATGATGTTTGATTTGTATTGTTAATAAGCTGTACATAAAGTGAATGAAAACAAACACTTAAGAAAAATGAACATTTTATGGTAAAATAACGTCTTCTGAGAGGTTCTTCTGTGCAGTGAAAGAGTGAGTTTCTGTGAAACTCTTTATGTCGAAAACACCAGTGGGCATCTACACACTTAGAATCAAATGGCATCAAAGCTCCTCGGATGTGACAGGAGGCGTTTATGTATTAATAATGAAACTCCATCTTGTGTCTGTATAACTGGAACACTCTGATCGCAAACAGAGTAATAAAATAAAGACGTACTGACTTGTGGGAAATTAGAGCTGTTGACACGTATTGAATTAGACACGAAAAGTGGTAAACTATCCAGATGAGGAAACGACTTGTCAAGCTTTGCACCTCCATAAATAGTTGCTTCCTCACTTTACAGCTGCAGAGAGAAATAAGTATTTATAGGTGAATAGCATGTTGTCAATAAATGCTGTTGTAGTCGGGTTCCAAATTGTTTTTTTTGTTTCTGAAAAAAAAAAAGGTTTATGTTTGTAAACGTTCAAACATGTTTCTAGGATTTTTTATTATTATTATTATTTTTTTACATTCACATCCTTGTGTTATTCCTTCTTGGCTTTTACCAGTCTAAAAATATCCAGGACCAGATTGTGAGAGTTAAATGAGCTAATTTAGAATTTTATATTTTCCCGTCATTACACAGGTCTGAGACTGCTTGGCATCGGGAGAAACCAGTACATCGACCTGATGAATCAGTGCAGGTCCTCCAAAGTAAGATGCGTTAATTTTTTTAGGGTTATTCAAGGTCATGTTACTTCAGAAAATCAACAGAAGTACGCCTTAAAAGAACCGGTAAAGTTCTGTTTTAGTGGTTGCATATCAAAAATGAGAAACCACCGATTTTGTATCGACATGTTTTAAGAAATTACACAGGCCATCTGATGGGAGCAAGAATATTTTCTAAAAGCATTTTGTTATGAAATAGGTAAGAGGTAATTGATAAAATCAACACAAATTGCTGAAGAAATAAAAGCATCTAGTTTACTGACTTGAGAACCAAGTCTAATTTCAAGCTTTATTAAACTAATAAGTTTTAAAGTAAACACCCAGTGCCTGTGTTTGGGTAGTGATCCGACAACTCGACGACTTTCCTAATTTGCTGTGAAGCGATGAGATGTTTTGCACACAGTATTGTTTTCCATTCATTTTAATTATTTGACTTTTCAGCTTAAGGCTTTTCTCTTAGTAGCTAAACTGACAAAGTGTTTTACTTGCTGAATATTTTCAGCATTAGCCAGTTTTGTAGAAAAAGGTATCAAAAAGGACATGTGGGTGCAGATTAGTGGCTATTCTAAGGCTCTTCGCAAGACAAACGGCTCAAATTCTTATCGATTATAATTTAATAAAACATATAATTGTGCCAGTTTAATGTTACACAAAGAAAGTTTATTTGTGTTTTAAGGATCAGTGTTCAAGCATGTAACAAACAAAGATATATCTGTAATAACATCTACATTAAAAATGAAGACTTCCTGCAAGGAGGGAAGCCTAAATCTTTCTCTCTTTAGAAAATATAACCAATAAGGTTCAGGTGCTAAGTGTCTCACCTGTAAAGTAAATTATATTATATACATGAATAAAAAACAAACGGGTTTTAAGGCTGAAAAATATTACTTTTAAAAAAAGGTTTTAGGTAATATCTACAAATTAGCGACGCTGAATGTGATGCAAACGTTCCCTCTTCGGACGTCTTGACGTTGATTGTGAAAATACCACAGTCCTGCAGTATTTGCCAAATATTTAACACACTGCATTTTCATTCGCTTCTGTCCTCAGAAATTCTTTCGCCGAAAATCGGCACGGGACCTGCTGCCATCCAAGCCGGTGGAGATTTCCGTGGAGCCGTGGTGGGTCGCTCAGACGGGCTTCATCACCGAGGACGACATAAGGGTGTGGCACGTCTCCAGCTTGGGTTGTTTAAGATGGATTAGGATTCTGTTGAATGTCGTCGTTTATGTGTGACTCAGCTGAATGTGTATGAGGAACAACAAATAGGTATTTGAAAGGAGAGGGAAGAGATTCAGAAAGTGTTTTCTTTAATGCAGCGTGTAGCTGAATGGATGCTTTCTTTGGTAATATCTGCTTATTTTTCCTCAGTCTGGATCGGGAGTTTTCGAAGCTTTTGATGCACTGCATGCACGCTTAATCATGCTAAAATTTCTTATTTGTCAGGTTATTTTACAGATGAGTCTCCTTCAAACATTCTAATATTTTTTGCCCAGAAAAGGAAAGTTTAATAACTTCTGAAAGCTTCACAGTTCTTATCTGCAGATGCATATTTACTCCAAGAGAAACATCAGAAGACTTGATCTCTCCAGGGCATTTTTTCCCGAGCGTCCTTTCATAAATTTTGCACTAACGCCCAGCATTTAATGTTTTCCTTTTGGTTGAATGCAGATCTGCTCTACTGCGGAGAAGAAAGCCATCGACAAGATGATAGATTCTGGTCCACAGCTGGCGGGAACAATAGAGTACAATGTGGTCCTAAGTGAGTATTTGATAATGTCCTGTCTGTGTACTCACTGCAGTCTCCCCCTTGTGGCTGTGAGAGATATTACATGAACATGCCTTTGAGCTGATGAATATTCTCTGACTATGAATGATAATAATAGTAGTTGTTAAGTTTTTAGGACACAGGATAGGTTAGATTCTTTTAGATTTTATGTAACAGAATAAATAAAGAGGACAAGCACGTTTAAAACAGGCTGAATAATGTGACGGTTCCTAATTAATTACTTTGAGTTTGCCTAAAAGTTGATTTTTGTCCCCTTCTGTACAATATCTTTTTAGTTTTTTTTCTAATCTCCAGCTTTAAAAGAAATAACAGGTTTAGTATCTTAGTAAGGCTTAGTAAGAGTTTCAAGTGTCTTACTTGTGGTCTCATTTGTGTCATTATTTGTGTTGCAGGTTTGTATAACCGGGGCTTTATTTACCTGGACGTTCCCATATCGGATGACAGCTGCATCTCAGGTACACCACTCTGTGCGTTTTAATTATTGCTGCTTTAATGCACCTTTGAGCAGCTCAGCCTGGTGTGTGCTTGAAGAAGCATCATGAACTGAACTGAAAAGATGTGTTCATTTGTGTGTGTATAGACACATTGGTAAGTAAAAAGCTGTGGAATCACCTCAGTGTGAAAACAGGGTTTTTTTTGGTACCTTCTCTTTCAGTGCCCCCTCTCGAAGGCTTCGTCATGAACCGTGTGCAGGGTGATTATTTTGAAACGCTTCTCTACAAAATCTTTGTGTCTATTGATGAGCAGACCAACGTGGCCGAGGTAGGCCTTGGACGTGTCCTTTATTCCTCTCTGATGACTGTTTGTCTGATCACTGATCTTTTTTCTTTTTCTTCTCCCTGTCTGGTTCTCAGCTTGCCAACGTCCTGGAGATCGACCTGGATTTAGTGAAGGTGGGTTTATGTCTCAGGGTATCAGAGTAATACTGCTTTTTTTTTTTTATTCATGGAGGATGGATATTCAGCCTTCAGGAAAGTTTGTCTCCTGCAGAATCTCAGCATTTTAATGCTTTCTTCACAGTTTGCTGGTTGAAAGCTGTTTATATTTACCATATATTTCTTTGGGAATTTTCCATTTGCGCATGAAAAATATTTATTTTTTGAAGTAAAAAGAAACTTGGACTTCATAACTTTTTACGCAGCTGCAACTCATGATTTCTTGTTTTGCATTTTATAGCCCAGCTAATGTTTAGAATGAAGAAAAAATATAAAGCACTTAAATATTTACTTACAAAAAGTGAGTTGACAGAATGTTAAGGTTGAGGACTGAACTGACAAATTAAAGGCCTAAATTAAGACATGATTGCACATTTCTAACACACCTGTAGTTTAATTAATTACTAATGACAAATGCAACAGCATCTACACTACTAAATGTGCATGTCTGCATGTTAATTTACCCATTAAATCAACCAAACTTGGTACGATCTCTTTCAGTGGTTCATAACAGACAAACCTGTTTGAGTTCAATTTGCTTTGTCCTGATTGTTGGCTCATCTGCTGCTCATTGCTGTCATCTCTTCAGCTGCTTGTTTGTGCAGCAGTTGTGTTGCTGTGCTTCGCAACAGAAAGTTGCAGTCCATCTTCTGGTCCGTTTTATTGCCCTTCCATACTTAGACCAGTCGACCCCAACAACTTCTTTTATCTTCTCCTGAGCTTCTTCGCCACCGTAACGGTTGTTACACCTCCTTCACCAGCACCCGCTCGCACACGCACGCACGCCTATGGTAAAGAACGAAATATTATTTCTATAGTAATGGAGCATTTTTCTACTGAAAACCCAACAGCTGCCACATTCTTTCAAACTTCTGTGCATGGATCAGATTTCAGGATTTAGGAGATTATTCAGTGTTCCTCTTATTATGACAACAAGCCGAATTATCTTTCCTCCTCAATGTTTTTATGGATTTCTTTTTTCAGCCTTGGTTCATAGCAGCGGATGATTTTTATGCCTTCAGTACCCGACCTTCATTTAATAAGCAGGGTTTGTGTAAACTCTGTGAAATCCGGCTTAATATCCTCCCAGATCATGTTTAAAAGCCCTGTGCTGAAAAATTCTCTCTTGACAAGTTTTTCATGCCGTTTTGCACCAGTTTATGCAGTTTATTGAGTCAGGATGCTGCATCTGCCTGTTGTGGTTTAAAGGGTTAAGAAAGGATGGATGCTTTTGTTGCAAAAACAATTTAGAGAAAGTTTGCTCTCAGCCTTAAGAGCATCATTAATATCCCATTGCTTCTTAGTTTATAACAAGTGTGTTGATTGCACCATTTATACATGAGGTAATTTAAAGTGCAGAAACATGATGACACATGCCAGTTGGAGAGTCTATCATATAATTTCTGAACTATTGCAGAACAGTACCAGACAATCCCACCCATTTTGTCGGCCTGTTAACCCATATGATTGTAATACTAACACAGAAGTTTTAAGTGTATATCTCTTAAAACCCAGTGCTTAGATGCAGTAGCAATTTCTGAAAGTTTTCCTTTTGCTAATGAGTTCAGTTAAGTTCCAAAGTAAAAACTAAAAAAAAAAAATCAGCTTAAAGAGGCCATTAAGTCCAGGTCTGTGTTATTAACAGTGCTGTGATCTTAATTGACCTTAGTTTAGTCACACTCTGTCCAGAGAGTTTTATTTTTCTAACCTTAAAGATTATGAATCCCACTCACCCTCCAATGTCATGGTGGTCACCCTGCTCTAGTTTCTCCATGCACAGCTCTGAGATGAAGATGACATAAAAGTCACACTATTTTTACTGTAGGGGCAAGTCAGACAATCTGCATCCCAGGAAGGATTCTGGGTCACAACTGCTACGTTGACCTTAGATGATAAGTGTTTAAGGTGAAGAAAATTGTGTTTGCTTATTGATATAGTCTGTCATGCTTTGGAGTTTGCTTGTGTGTGGTGTTCTGATGGCGTTCCTTGATCCTGCAAAGTCTTTACGAGACATCGAGAAATTATTTAAATAGAAAAATAGACCTGGACTTGTGTTGGGTTTGAAGTAATTTCATACAAATCAGCTGATTAAGAAATTAGCAAGCAATTGACATTCATCCATTTCCTTATTTGTGAAAATAACTATAATAACGATAATATGTCCTCATGAAATTAATTTAAGTTTTAAATTGCAGTGCAAAATGACACAGCAGCTTTGAAGATGCAAGTCTTTCTTCACGGTAGACCAAGAACATCAATGGATGTCATAAGGTGTTTGAGATGAGATGTTGGACATGAATCCCTGAGGATTAATTTCTGTAAACCGGGGTTGCTTCCCACAGATGTGCTGATGGGATCCAGTATCAGAACCTATCAAATTGGTGTCTACAGAGTTTGAAGGCCAAATAAATAACTAAAGTTCTTTGTGGAGCTGCAGTCTCCCCCCTCCCCCACTTGAAGTTTGTGGATTTATGTCCATCCAGTCCAGCTGAAGAAGGCACCGCTCATGTAGCGGTGGGTTATTGCTCTGTGAGGTTTGAAACGGTCTTGTAAATGGCAAAGCACCCTCCATGTGAATGTGAGGAAGTAACTTGTAAAAAAAAAAACAAGAAGATTCCAACATAACATGAAAAATATGGATGAAAAAAAGGGGACACGGTAAAGTATTCGTATCTCCAAACTGTTTTCCATGTTCTGTAAACTAAGAGGTCTGTCCGATCATCTGTTCATAAAGCCACGCATCATTCTTATTGTCTGAACTTAAATCAGAAAAAAACCTGTTGCTTTTGCTACAGGTGGATTTCATAAATTATTCCTGTTTGCTAAATGTAAGAGGAACGAGGGAGTTTTTGCCGTTTTTATTTTTTATTTTTCACTCCCAAGTCAGAAGTTTACATTCACAAACATTACTTTAACTTCAAACAGTTTGGGAAGGACCAGATGATGAATTCATGCCATTGCAAACTTCTGATATGTTAATTTTGCAATATTTGAGATTGCTGCTTCCTCGTGATATGTGATAGAAAAATTAAAAGGAGTCAGCCAAGACATCAGGAAGAGACTAATGGACTTCAACAAGTCATCCTTTAGCCGTCCTTCATTGATCATAAAAGATTCACATTCAGCTTCACCTTCTTGGCCAAATATCTCATCCTTTCTGCAGAGATGAGCCAAACTTTTAATGCTAATGCTAATACAGCTGTGTTACAACATGTTTTATTAGTATGTGCTGACACTTTATCAGCAGTTCGTCGCAGCCTTGTATCGGTGTATCAAATATAATAACTGCCTGAAAGAAATGATTCAAGAATGCTAAGTTTCATATAGGGTGTGTTTTCCTCCTTTGTTCCATCAGAACGCGGTTTCCATGTACTGTCGCCTCGGCTTCGCGGTGAAGAAAGGTCAGGTGTTCAGCTCTGAGCAGCTCCACCCCAGCTGGAAGAACGCCCCATCCGTTAACAGGCTCAAGTAAGCACTTCCTGTTCTTTCTGAGCACCACGCGTCTTTACAGATGTAAAAAATCTGGTCTGAATCGCTGATTACGGTTTGGGAAAATCCCAGCAATGCGCTGTCAAAGTGTCACGACGTTGTGCTGCAGGAGCACCATGGACCCCCAGAAGATGCTGCTGTCCTGGGAACAGGGCAGTCCCGTCATGGAGGGCGGCTCCTCGGCCACAGACACAGACACCACAAGCCTGGAAGACCAAGGTCTCACACCTACGCACACACACACACACACACACACCCGAGCATATTCTGCATCGTATCCAAATAATCAGACTTGCTGACATGTGCACATGGGACACTTTACGATTGCTGCATCTGGTCTTCTGAGCTGCACCACTAATTAATCCCCAAGAAAGTCCGGCAACGCTGCTAAGAGTAATTTTCACACTAATAGGTGTTTGTCTAAATTGGTCTCATTTTGGCCTAATTTTAATGTTGTGCACATTAAGCTGGCAGAGTTTCTTGCAAATTGGATATTATCAAAGGAGCTGTTGCACAACAACATTTAACATGCTAATAAGTTTAAATTAATCTTTCTGAGAGGGAGGAATTCCTCTAAATACATTTTTTTTTTTGATAAAATCAGATGCTAATTTCTACAATTAGGAAGAGCAATTGACGGCTAATTGGCTTGTAGTAACACGTGTTAATCTAATCGCTCAGCAGTATTACATTTTCTCCTGCCTTATTAATTATTTACCTCTCTCAGCAGGAGACACGGGCAGCGTTAGCAGCCTGAGCATCCCGGCGGCTCCCACTAAGAGGATCGCCTTCCTCTTTGACTCCACGCTCACCGCATTCCTCATGATGGGCAACCTGTCTCCGGTCGGTGCAGAAATGAAATGCACAACTTTTATTTTTTGCCAGAAAATTACCAGAAATGTGTTTGAACATAGATCTGCATATTTGTGGCGTTGTCCTATCTATCAGAACCTGAAGAGCCACGCTGTGACCATGTTTGAGGTGGGGAAGCTGTCCGACGAGACTCTTGATAGCTTCCTGGCTGAGCTGGAGAAGGCGAGTTCAAATTTGTATTTTTTTTTCCCCATCACAGATGTAAATTTACATTAAAAATTGTTCAGATGTTGTCATTTCCCTTTAGAAACCAGTAGGAATCTTTTTTTAAATGCTTGTTTTTTTTTTACTCAGGTGGAGAGCACAGCAGAGGGCGAGGCTCAGCGTTACTTTGACCACGCTCTCACCCTTAAAAACACCATCCTCTTTCTGCGCTACAACAAAGAACTCACTCAGGATCAAGGACCTGATATTCCAAATATAGGTATTTATTCTGTCGTATGTCTTTGTTCATCTCGTCTCTTGTTGCATCTTAAAGATCAACGGCATGCGAAAGTATTCTTACCCCTCTTACAGCCAGAGACACTTTATTTGACGGGGTGTCCATAAGACTGAAAGGACATAATCATGACCTAACATCTGTGATAACATGAAGAAGTCCTTATGAATGTTTATGCCTGTTGTCTTGAAGTGTCCTTCAATAATGACACTTTTAATGCAAAGTTGCTTTAAAAGTTGCATTTGAAGTCCATTAAAGGTGCCAACTTTGCATTAAAGTGTCATGATTTACAAAATAATGCAAAGTTGGCACTTTTAACGGACTTTCGTGCATTAAAAGTGTCATTATTTCCTGAATATCTATGACAAGAGTCATAGACATGAGCAGGTACCGTACAGAACTTGATTAAAGTATTGAATATTTGAATATTATTTAGCAAACATTAAACGTATAAAGTCATTGTTGTGGATGGTCTTTTCCAATGTGCTGCTGCAGTTCTACTCTGGATTACCAATCACGACTGCCGTCCTTATCTGAGCAGCGAAGTAAATACAAGCGAACATTTTCTCCTAGTTTCCTGTTTTCACGGTCACGCCGTAGGTAATTTTCTGCCAGTGACATCATTTATTATCAATTCCAGGCAACATTTTGCAATGATTATTAAAAAGGGAAACGTTCAAAACCTGCACTTGGGAACAGTGAAGCGGAAATGTTCAACCGCTGACGGTTGTTATCCAGAGGGAATATATGCTTATCAAAGACCTCCGATACAAAGTTAAAACATTGTGAATGTTGCAGAATTTTTATGAGTCGACTTAGAAATATACTGAGAATAATAAGAAGAAGGTGGCATAATAATCTTTATCTTACCACAAATATCAGTTTATTCTTTAAATAGAAATTTTACTTTTTTAACGTGTTTAACCTTCTTTTTCAGAGATTTGAATGTAATTAGCTAAAATGAACAGCTAATTAAAATAAAATAGTTTTTTTTATAGTTTGTTGCCTTCAAAACCAATCTGGTCTCCTTCTGTGTGAAGTTTTGTGGATGTTTTTTTGTTTTTTTTCCGTTTACTTGTTGACCCTAATTTACTTTGGTTTTTAATAGTTTAATGATTGTTTTTGAGATGCTACATTTAGAGAATAATTTCCTTATTTTTGCTGCAATTTCAGTTAATTTTCCAAGTTAAATTTACAAAGGAAAAACAACGTAGTGTTTGCAAAAAGAGTACAAACCTCAACCAGCCGTAATTTTTAGATTGAAATCAATTGTTCTTCTCGTCTCTGTTACTATTGATTTACTTTTAGCTGTCTTTACAACACTTGTTTCTAGCAGCTGTTGGTAAATGAGTATTTTATCCACTAATGGCCTACGGTCTTAAAATCGATAAGTAATTAAAACCTCGTCTGGTAGCTTCAAAGAGGAAGTGGATCCTGTTTCTGTCCAGATATTGGCAGACCACACCGCCGATCCGCCCAAAGCTGCCTTTAACGATTATCTCTTCGTAGTTAAATATTCCCATGTAAACGATTGGATTTAGAGACGCGTTGTTTGTCTGCTGTCTCAAGGTGGAGCAGCGCAGAGTTTGTCCTTCCGTCTCAGCAAAGCAAACCTCTGGGTCCTGCGTAGCAACGGTTGGTGACACCAGATGCGTTTTGTTTGATTTGGCTTCATGCCTGGCTTCTGGTTGTCTTGCCGCATTGTCGTCCTTCAGCAGGTGAGCCTGCTGAGTGAAGCCAAAATGTTGTTACAAGTGTTTTATGTTGACTAGTCATTTAGGGAACAAATTAGTGTAAGTGATTAAGAAGTGTTAACTTGGAGAAGATGCTTTCTTCCACCACCTAGGAGGAGATTTAAGAGATGAGTGACGGTAACTCCTTCTTGGTGCTACTTCAGTACAGTTTATTTTTATGAAATAAGCTCTTCTTTGTGATCTTATTTGATTAAAAATACTTGGTTGCCATTTATTTACTATTATTATGTGATGGGGTGGGCAATATGAACTTAAACCTTTATCACAACAATAAAGATTATGATTAAATGTTGTCATGCCTCTCTTGAAAAACATTCCTTCATGAAATAAGCATATTCAACACCCCAGAAATGTGATTTAAATCACGATGCAGCACAAAGAAACTGCATTTAATCAGATTTTATAATTTACGGATATTTATTGACGCCCCATTGGAACGAACATTAGAGAAAATGGTAACGATAGCATTTCTGATAATGCTGTCGGTTTCGTGGTTTAAATTATTTAACGTAAAGTTCTTGTCGACTGCTACGTGTTTCCTTCCTGTGGTGGTTTTGCCTGCAACTAAAATTATCTCAGCAAGTGAGATCCTTTTATTAGTCCCTGTTTGCTCTGGGTCTGATTACAGTATTCATTGCTGAGGACATTGGGGATTGTTTTTCTGTGGAATACAGGTTCCAGTCGGACAGAGGTGTGGGTAGCTCCATGTTGCATCTATAGGATGGTAACTCGCAGACCAAAGGAAGATGAGTTTTCAATGCTATCGTTTAAGTGTAAAATTTATTTCTCATGCTCTCAAAGAGAAGCTCTTTTGTGGGATTTAGCAAAGATGTGGAGGGAAAAGCTTAAGCAGTCGGTGCTAGGAGTTTCAGTAAACTGTTACATTTATTTGAATCCATCCACTCTTACCACTTGTTTTTGATTCTAGTCCCGTTTTCTAAAAGAGTGATGACTTCCCCCCCCACCCTCCAATGTCTCCAGGTTTTCCTTTGGACATGCTGCGCTGTGAGAGCCTGCTGGGTCTGGACCAGGCCACCTGCAGCCGCGTCCTCAACAAAAACTACAAGCTGCTGGTCTCAATGGCGCCGCTCAGCAACGAGATCAGACCCATCAGCAGCTGCACACCTCAGGTATGAAGCCTGGAGGAGGAAGAGGGAACAGAAGGGACATTGTGTTGTTTCTGTGTGCGTAAAGACATGAAGGAGCTGTTTTTATATGCGTGTTATGTGACAGATAATGTGTTGGAGGTGAAACGGGGGAGGAGGGAGGGAGTTTTGTTTTGTTTGCCATCTTGCCTGGTGTACACATTTGAGTTTCCAGAGTTATCTATAAATGTTTGTGTGTGTGTGTGTGTGTGTGTGTGTACACTTGGCGAATTCTCAGCCTGCAGTTGCCCCAACAACAAGGCTGCACAAAGAGAGGAGGAAGGCGGGAGGCGAGGCTCATGAGTAATTCCTCTGCCTGGCTCTCCTCCAGCTTTCTAGCTGAGCCCAGCGAGACAGAGGAAGACAAGTTAAACTCTTGTTGTGCCATTCACGCTGTTGCTTATTCTCACACCGCTGCGACTCGCTCAAGTGAAATATGAAGAATTCTCCTTGTTTCCACTCAAATCTTTTTGTCATTTCAATTCATGCAACTAATAATAACCGAACAGTCTGTTTGTTTTTTGATGCTGTGGCATTTTTTTTCTCCCTCTCCTCCTCCTCCTCATCTGATTATCTACACGTGTATTTGTTTCTTCTTGCAGCACATTGGCCCAGCCATCCCCGAGGTGAGCTCCATCTGGTTCAAGCTGTATCTGTACCACGTGACAGGCCAAGGCCCGCCGTCGCTGCTGCTCTCCAAGGGCTCCAGGCTCAGGAAGCTGCCAGACATTTTCCAGGTGAGCCCAGGTTAATGGTTGTTCAGATAAACGGGAGTAAAAATGGTAGCAAGGAGGTGAAAGGGACAGATAGTAAAAGTCTCACGTTAAGGTAAACAATAGCTGCTCTCAGGAGCTGCGGGCAGGGGTGCCTTTAAAGTTGTGACCTTGCTTTCAATCACAGGCAGGTAATTGGATCATTCGCTGCCTCCTGTGTCCTCGACAACCTTCATTTCTTAATAAAGCAGCAAGTCCTTTTTGATAATGCGTCACGGTGAACTAATATATATGTCCTCCAGTTTGGCTTGAAATTTGATCTTGGGAATGTGTGAGAAAAGAGCAAGAGAGAAAATGGTACCATAAATCCTCTGCAGAATACCTGCGATATGCAAATGAAGTCCTCGATGTGAACGCGATGAAAAACAACTGGACTATTTACTACGGGAGTTAACATCAGAACATTTGTTTGTTCCCCGACTTTAGCCATTCAAGAAAATACATTTAAGGCAACTGCTGATACAGTCACTGTGTGCTATTTGAGTAAAGTTAATTTAATCTGTGCTGAATTAAAACTCCCTACGTTTCGTCAGTGTTACACAGCCTACATTGGTATTGTGAATTTGTCCTTCATAACTCGCCAATGACGTTCCAGATAACGCAGTCTCCACTGCACTCATGGCTGGAGTTTCTGCAGGACTGCTTTAACATTCTGCTCCAACTCTGAGCTACTTGTTCTGATATCGACGTGATGCTAGAAAGACATCTGACTTGACACATTAAGTCTTCTGACGATGTTTTTTTGTGCAGAGTAGCTACCCCAACTGCTAATGCTAGCATCTGTTCCCTGTTTTGATGTGACACATTGCTCATTTGTGTTTCATTGTTAAACATATTTTACTGGGGTTCCATTTGAGTGAGTTCAGGGAAACATCTACAGAGAAATGTGCTGCAATAGAAACACCCAGGTTTGTTTTTAATGTCATAAAATTTGGCAGTGAGATTTCAGCTGCTCTCTGTTGTGATCACAAGTCATATCACACAGACTGGAAGCTTTAGCAGCCAACTCGGTCCTTTTGTTTAATTATAAATGCCATTGCAAATTACTTCCGTTTTACCATGAGTTCATATAATTGAATTTAGTATTATTTTGTATAGATACTCTAAATAGTCATTGATAGTTGCAGAAGAATCAGTGGTTTATTAATTTTTCTTTCCTTAGGCCTACGACAGGCTGCTGATCACCTCTTGGGGTCATGACCCCGGTGTCGTCCCTACATCCAACGTTCTGACGATGCTGAATGACGCTCTCACGCACTCTGCCGTCCTAATCCAGGTAAATCCGGTTTCAGTTTTACTGTAATTTCAAAAGCTGTGATTGGACAGGGTTACGGTCATGAGAAATGTTGGTGGCTAAAATTTCATTCAGATTCGAGAAAGCTCACAGCCAGGAGCTGATTTCTTCATGTTTTGTCTCCATAGAAGTAATAAGAAATATTTCTCACTTTTATGAGGAAGTTTAGCTCCGTGGTTAATATGAAAACGATGCTGCTGTTCAATTTTTACTTTTACAAATGCAGCACTCCTTATAACTTTGTGCCAAACATAAAAAAGGCCAATTACATGGCTCAGAATATTCACTACCTGAAGATTTACAGTTTTTACTTCCTTGTTCCAATTTGCTTCATTGCAAGTCATATGTTTTATGAATTTGACAACTCATTTATTAACTTTTCCCTGTCTTGTAAAAATTCCTAATCATCAATGTGACGAAATTTTCTAACCAAGTCATGGTGAGTTTAAAATAAAACTGTGTGTCTGTGTGTGTTCATCAGGGTCACGGTATGCATGGTCATGGAGAAACTGTTCATATCCCATTTCCTTTTGACGAGGAGGATCTGAAGGGAGGTGAGTCAGTTTCTGCGTGAGGTTATGAAATCTTTTAAACACATGGCTTAATTTACGTTGAAGAAATAGCACTTTAAAAAAAAAAAAAAAAAAGATAGCTACTTATGCTATATGAAAACAGTTTTTAGTGTTACTCTGAGGTTAAAATACCTTGAAAATAGCCTCTGAGATTAGAAAGTATCACACTTTTAGGGTTATGTATGAAGAAGATAATGAACAATACATTTTCAAATGGTTTATTGATTTATTTATTACTACTTTGTTAGTTTTTCTGGTTGATATCTGGGTTTGGTTCGTAGCAGCTGCAGTGCAATAACCAACTAACTCACACACGTGTTAGTTAAATCGTTCTTCTAATTTGTCTAGTATTCATCGTGTTACGTCATCGACTAGAAAGCAGAAGTTGATGTTGGAGGTGCAGCAACCTCCCATAATTCTAACCCTGTGTGAAGATGGTTTAAATGGACGGATTAGTTTTCTAACAATAGGATCAGCATGCGTCTAGTTTCACTGTCAGGATGTCCACACATGCTTATTACTGCAACCTCTTTCTTTGCTGCGACAATTTGATGCTGTTTAATATCAAAAAGAGAAAGTACAGTCTGTGTGAAATACTTCAGACTTGGAGCTTTTGCCTGCTAGACTGTGCTAGCCCGAGTCTAGCAGAACGCCTCGTTCATACTCGACGTCTGCTTGTCACGCAGAGTTCTCCTACTCCAACATGTGTGTGCACAAAGCGCTTCGGAAGCTGAAGGAGCACGTGGATCTGGAGCACCAGTGTGGCTACGTCACCATGCTGAACTCCAACAACAGGCACCGTCGCAGGACCAGCGACAGCGCCGAGTGCAGAGGTACAAATGGGTCTTTCTGGCTGTTTAACAGACAAGAGTTATTGTGAAATTAGCTGCAATGTCCTCGCTTGGTACAGCCAATGGCACTAATGGTGCAAATTAGATAAATATTCCTCGTAGTCCAGTTTAATTACGCTGCTTGTCTGCTTAATTGTGTGCTTTTTATGGTGATAGTTTTTGCTAATGGAAGAAACATTCTTAGCCGTTTGGGACTGAATCTCACTCCTGCTTTAAATCCACCAAATTTTAATAATTCTCCATTGTTGGCTCACAGAAATGTAGTAAATGATTGTAAAAGCTGGCGTCTGTCTTTATTTGTTGTTTGCGCTCCAGGAGAAACCCATCTAGGCGGAGGCCTGGACACCAACGGCAGCACCGAATCATTTGAGCTCGTGACCGAAGAGAACGGCGAAGGAAAAGGAAAGACAGACTGTAGGTGCATTTTATGTTTCCTTAAAAATATTTGCAAACATTTACTGAGTTTTTTTCCTTTTTTTGAGAGTTAGAGGACGTGTGAAAGGGGTCGGACAGTTGGGGATGCAGCGTGACAAGTGGCGGTGTCTGAATTCAAAACCAGGCCTTTCTTTTGAGCGTCTCGTCTTGTTTCTTCCTCGCCAATCTCTTTTCTCAGCTCTTTCATCTGAAGACGAGTGGGTCCCTCTTGAACTGTGCTTCGGCATGCCCCTCTTCAGCTCCGAGCTCAACCGCAGAGTGTGTCGAAAGATTGCCTCACACAAGCTTTGCAGCAACGAAAGGTAAAACCTAAAGTCTGTCACTTCTGGACGAAGCGTTTTGAAAAGAGTTGTGCTGCTAGACTTGAGTTTTGTTGTTGCTTTTTCAGCCTTCAGGAGCTTCTTCACTCAAGCCGAAAGCTGTCGCTGAAAGTGCTGAGCTTTGTTCATTCGTTCCAGGTAAGAGCTCTTGGTTCCCTTTTCTTTAGTTTGAGCCGAAATGGGGAAAAAAAACATTGTCCAGCAAAAATATAGAGCCGGAATTTATGGACAAATTCTTCCTTTTTATTCCCATAAATTCTTTTTAATTTTCATGTAAAGTTTCCAACTATTGAAAGATCCCAAAATAATAAGGCGACCATGATAAACAATTAAGAAAGGCAGGTAATGGCTGCATTTAAGTTTGTTTTTTAACTGAATGAAACCTTGTGATTAAAATGTGCAGCAGAACCAGAAGCTTAAAGGAAATCTATTTAATCTATGTGCATGATTGCACATACCCTGTAAGCTTCCAACCTAGTTATCTGTAGGGAAAAGTGACAATTATGATAATATCAGATTGTGGAATTAATATTATCTATATGGTAAATTCTATGCTCTTGTTCAGATGCATCAGTTTTCTTGTCCCTTTTTCTTTTAGCCTCATAAACTAGATTTTATGTAGTCAGTTAAACAGTTTTTTGAAATTGCTTATTTAATGTACAGTTAAACTTGATGCATGTTGGTGAAAATGCAGCTAACATTGCTTAAAAATATTACCTGACTGAAAGTCTCTCTTTTCCTTATGTGCTATGGCTTTTTGTGCTGATTAATGTTCTTTAATAAGATACTCTTGCCATGTTGCCTGCACATATTAGAGATTTTAGATCAAATGAAGGTGATTTACTGCAGAAAACTCTGCATGCAATCGTGTCGATTGGTGACGTGTTAAATATAGATCCATTAAACCTTGAACCAGTCTCCGTGAAGCACACATCCTTACTGGTGTTCTCAGCCGTGAACTTTGCCCTGCATTGACAGGACGGCGGCCAGCCGTCCGACCCGGACAGCGGCGTGTCGAACCCTCTCAGCCAGCCGCCGGCTGAGTCCGGCGTCCCTCTGCCCTCCATCAACCTCCTCTTCAAGGACGGACAGCTGAAGGAGTGGAGCGGCCGCGCCCCTCCCCCTCTGGACATCTCGTCTCTGCAGAAGGACCAGCCCTCATAAAACCAGGTGCGGTTTGTCCACGAGGACATTACTTCTCAGTGAAAATGGACCACCCCTCCTTTTTTCTTCCCCCACCTTCTTTTCTTGGCAAAGTCACATCACATCTCGCTGAGGACATCTCTTAAAAGTGGTCCAACTCTGCATCTTCATACGTGCTCACAAGGAAACGCCGTCGACATTCTTGTCGAGCTGATGGGGGAAAATGAACCCCATCATCTCTTTATTGTTTATCCACTGTAAGAGGAAGCATCCTCCATCAACACTAGTACCCACCTCCTTTTTGTTGTTTTCCTGCGTGGTTCCTTGCATTCCTAAGAAGGCAGCGTTAGCCGTTGGAGTGGTGCTATAATCCCAACATAAAACAGTGACGCAGGTGAACGGCTTCGAACCTGGAAAAGCTTGTTGCTTTGTTTAGCCTCATTCCCATCCTCCCAGTTGGTTCTGGTTTTGTTTCTTAAGTTGAGTGACCCAGATGAACCCCAGACTTCTTCAGGAACAATTTAAACTATATGCATTATATTGTAGGACCAAGCTTTTGGACTTACCAGCTGAGTTTGAATCCTTCTTTGTCTCGTCTCACGTTCACTGATTCAATGCATGATGGTGTTGCACAATTCAACAACCCCTAAAAAAAGAAAAAAAAAGAAGAAATTCCTCCCCTTGTTATTTGTGATCAATAATGGGGAAACATATGTTAATTGCACTGTGCAGGATTTGTTTTAAACCTGTGGATAAATAAATGTCATGTCCTTTTTTTTATTTTTAAAAGTAGGATCGGTTGTAGTGCACATTGTTTTTAGAGCTCTTGTTTACGGAAGGAAATGTTTATTCATTGAAACGAACATGTTAAGAACTGACTGGGCATTTGAGGAACTTCTGCTTTTTATTTGTTCTGTTTTTTTTTTTTATATATATACAATTGAGAGCACCAAAGACATTTTCTTTTTCTTGTAATGATTTTTTTTTTAAAATTATTTGTTGCCTTTATTGAAATCAGCCAATCTAAAGAGCTCAGGCCTGGGATCAAAACTGCTCATTTGCTTTGCTTTTTGACCTTTTTTCTTTATGATTTCTGTACATTTATCTGAATACACACAACCACAGTTAATAGCACAGCATAACAAGCATCCTGCCTTTCCTGTTTGAGCTGGAATTTGCATGTCACACTGCATGCAATCGTGCCGATTGCATGCAGTGTGAAGCAAAGGTTACAGGTGCATCTCAATAAATGGAATATCATCTTAAAGTTCATGTATTTTAGCAATTTCGTTTAAAATATGAAACATCTGTATTCAGTGAACCCAGACCACATTTTAATTGTTTATTTTCTGTTAATTTTGACTGATAACAAAACCTAAACTTATAGAATATTACATAAGACTAATAAGAAACGTTATGTTGTATCAGACACAATCATGGAGGGCAAGCAACAGAAGCTCATCACTAAATAAGTTGGTTGTTCAAAGTGCTGAATTTGAGAATATTAATGGAAAGTTGAGTGGGACAAAAAAGTGTGGTTAAAAAAAACAGTAGCAAAAAGGAAAACTTCAGCCTTGAGAGGATTTGGATGTAAGGACCTTCATAATTTGTTGAAAGCTATTTGGAGATGAACGTTTCATTTTCTCACACATAACCAATAACTGGCTTAATGACAATATCAATGTGCTTGATGGGCCACCAGACTACCCTGACCTGAAACCCATGGCTGAATGTCAAGATGGAAGTGAGACCCAACAATTTAGATGAGTTTTCAGTACAGAATATGCAAGTGAGACCAAAACTTGGTTGGTTCTTCTTTTCCATAAATTGCTGCAGCATGGCTTGGAGGCGATTTACCCAGGATGCTTTAATAGCAACACTTTGTCTGTCATCATGTATTCAAAGCCCATCAGCAGAGTGAAAGTATGAAGTGCATAAAAGTTTCTGGTAGACTAACTTAAAACCTGATTTAAAAAAAAAAAGAAGGCTTTTTTCCTTCCACTAAACTTTCCATCAATATGTTCTCATTATGTAATTATTTAATGTGTGACATGTATTGTTTCCTCTGATTTTCTGAGAAGCAAAGCTCTCAGCTGTAAACAACACAATAACTGAACTAGATGTTTGACATCAACGTAATGAGTCTTTATAACACGACTTTCACTTTTTGTGTTGAGTCAGTCGATGAAGTTGTTGACGATACTGTAATTTATTGAGATTCATCTGCAAGTCTGATGACTTACCACTACACCTCCTTCTCTCTCTCGATGAACTCCAGCTTGTGTGTGATTGTGCGCTCTGAGCGATTCTGTTCACACCATCTTCAATTGAGGAGGAAAAAAAATGGGCTTGTAGTCTTGAAAAAAAGGAAACATGTTTTTGTTTTGTGGTTCAGAAATGGAAATGCCAGTGTGTTGCCCCGGCTTCACCTGAGACGTCATTTGGCTCAGGATGTGTCGGGTTTTTCCTCTTCATGAATCCTTAGTGCGGTTTCTTTTTCCTCCCTTCATTTAGAAATGCGTAAAACTCATGAAGCTGACTTTGTTTTTGAAGGAATTTCCCCTTTGCAGTTTTTGAGCCACTTGTGGAAGTTAGAAATATATATATAAAAAAAATAAACGGACTTGAGACGAGGTCCTGCTGAAGCATGATAGCTGTGTAGAAACTGTTGTGTGTATGTTGTGTATGCGTGTGTAATGTACACATCACCTCAAATCTTTACCAGTGAAAATGACCCTTTACACACACACACACACACTTATCTACAGGTCATGGCTGTTTGTTGCAGTTTCTCATTTTCACCCCTAGTTATTCATCTATCTTAGGTGTTTAAAAATGATAGTTTTATATGTTGGCTGAAAAAAAAAAAACTTTGTTGTAGCTTGTTTATTGGGAGTGTGAATATAATTGACTTAAAAAGAAAACACCCTTCTGAATAAATGGGTTTAAAAAAAGGGGAGAAATGACATTCCTTTACTACGCTCTACCTACATCCTCTTCTTCATATACATATGATCAGAAATAAATATGTAAAAAGTATGTGAGAATATAAATAAATATGTAATAAGACTGAGATTTTCCTCCATGACGGTGTGTTGGGTCGTTTTTTTGTTTGTCCTGATGGAGTCACATTGCGTTATTTCAGGCTGTTTTCCCATCTCGTTGGAACAGATGGTCCTCAAGCCGCAGCGGTCCGGATGCTCCATCCATCTGCCTTAAGCATACACTATCCTTCTTGGGCTTTTTGGAGAAAAACTGGCTGAACGCTGATAGTAATTATCTTCGGATGTGTTCTTTAGCACCACTTTTAAGAAAGGTAACCTCGATGCCTCTATGCTTTTAGGAAACTGCAGGCCGACTTTGAGTCTGTTATTTTTTTTCAGTCAAGGTTTTAGAGCAACTTGATTTAATAAGCGACATGTCCTGACCACAAGAAATACATATATATTTTAAAGATCTATCTGGTTTCATATCAAATCGTAGCACAGAGAAAGTATTACTTGTTAATCACTTCAGCTTTAATTTTAAAGGTTATAAGAGCAGCATTTGGCACTGAACTAAAGTGGTTCAAATTAAATGTGACATTTTCTGTAAGTATGAAAAACTCAGCCACTAAACATTATAAAATGATATGCAGAGTTTCTATTAACTCTATTTTAGGCCCGACTACACATTTTAACTTAGAAATGCTGGGATCGTTCAAAGCTGTGCTAATGGTTCCCAGCTTTGCGTGATCATGCAATTTTGACTACCTGCACTTTTTAATTCAAACATATATTGTGAATCTAGGATCAATCGGGACAAAACTGAAGTTAATAATGGTAATAACCTTCAGAGAAAGACAGAGAAACTTACATTAAGAGAGAACTATACAATTAAAATAAAAGATATAGGGCTTATATTTGATTGTACTTTGTTAAATTAAAAAATGTTACCAAGAATACTCCTTCTCGCCTAAAGAACACTGGCAGAGTAAACCGTGTCTATTTTCAGGCAGTGATGGTACTTTAATAAAAAGTTCCTCTTATTACAATTTAGATTACTCAAGTGCTCCCTTTCTCTTTTCTTCTTAAGAATTTCATAGCCTTTCCACAGGCATAAAAAACAGGCAGTTATTTTTTTAGTTTAATTTGATGCATATATTTTTAATGATCATTAGCGTCTTTAGATACCAGTTGTTTGACTTAAATGCTGATTTTTGTTTAGTTGGGATCAATATTTAACTTAACTTATTCACATGATTATGTTATGCATCCATATATTTAGATTTAATTTTATTATTCATTTTAATATTTTAGATCTTAGCAAGATTTTTTTTTAATAAAACACATGCTTCTTAGGATTTCCATCTCCAGATAGAACTGTTGAAGTGTTTATAAACACAGTGCTGCAGTAGAAGCATGCAAGAACCCTGAAAAACTACCAAATCTCACTCCCCCCCCCAAAAAAAAACAAAACAGATCAGGTGTGCATCTCTAGATTGCTGTGGCACCGACTGGACAGGTGCAGCCCAGTCTAATTGGCTGCATCTCCCAGGCCTTCCCCGCTTCACCAATTTCCCAGCTCCACAAATTAGAGCGATACCACAGGAGGCAATCCGGGAGGGTAAAGTGGGTCACGCCACCTGAGGATATGGCGCTGTGAGAAGCGGTCAAATGTGCTGCATGTCACCGCTCTGAAGGTTCGTTTCCCCGACACGTTTTCAGCCGACGTGAGCCCTCGTCGGCTCCGCAAAGACACAACCAGCTGAATTTATTCAGCAGATTTGTTACTTTCGTCTCCCACCGTCAGACAGAGATGTGGCATGATTTCGTGCTGAAGCAAAAGGAAAGGCAGTGAAGAAATAAAAACAAAAATAGAGAATAAAATCACACAGTGTGTTTAAAAAAAAAAAAAAAAACGGAGCCGAGGCTTGTACAAAGAGCGAATGGTGAAATTATGCTGGCTCTTGCACAGTGAATATAGCTGCTTTGTCATTCTTACATCAGTGTAAAGGAAAGCAGAAGTGGATGATCTTCTCTTGTTTCATGTTGCATCAGTATCAGTTTGCGATGCTGCACATAACCTCTCTCAGTGCTGACTTTCAGGCCTACTGTTGTTTTTAACTTTAAAGCTAGGAAAACTTATATTAAGTTGACTGATGCTTGTTCGCCAAATGGTGAGCTGTGCCAAGACTTAAAAACCGATGTTCACGGACACTCTCCATCCAATCTGAATGGGGTTTTAAGCTAACTTGCCAGGAAAGAACTCGCAAGTTAGCTTGCAAGGTCTTTCAGTTTCCTACAGGTGGTGAAGGACTCCCAAGGTCAATGGAAAAGGTACAAAGACCTGTTGAGATGAAGACTCCAGCAACAACAGAAATACTAGGAAGCAACTTCATTAGCAGACCATCGCATTTCAGGTTGTAGCCTTCACTGTCGGTCTCTACAAGTGCAAAGCTGGTGGAGACATACTCCAAAGCGTGTGACTGGAACTGCAGCAAAAAATACTTCATCAGCCTCGAATGGATTGAACCCAAATGCACACCACGCCTTCCAGAAGTTTTTTAACTATGTGTCCTGGATGTTGTACTTTACGCAACTGTAAAGACCTAGAATTCAAATAAAATATGCTAAAGTTAGTGGTTCAACATGAGCAAATGTGACAAAGTTGAAGCATCATAGCTTCTTTCGCAAGGTGTTGAATGAAAGAGCTCATCTGATCGTCTTAAGAAGTCGTTGCTTAGAGGCCATCATGCTCATCTGATGAGTACGAGTGCTTGCGGAGGCCTCTCTGCACGTTTGAGCTGAACAGACAACCTCAATGGGTAACCTTGATTTGTAGATAAACCTTCTAATGGTCGCAGAGCTCAGGGGTCATAAACTCTGCCTCTTTGAATTCATGAACATTTGTTTTGTTTCCACTTTCTTTCAACGCCCATCAGCTGCTCTACGTCTCCCTCAACACCATTTTCCGGCACAGATGTTGTCACGGCTTCTTCGACGGTGCAGTCGTGTCACCGTGCAACATGTCGAGCAGACATTTTTCCTTTGCCACCTGTGGGATATGATATGAGGGTAAAATAGCTCATGACTGAGAAGAACAGGCAGGCCATGAGGCACTACAAACCTAATGGAGACATTATGGACTCAGTGGGAGACTGCGAGGGAGGAAACGACTGTTCAGCTTCGGTTGCTACTACACAGACAGCGTCCAGATCGCAAAAATGTATATTTTTTACATTCTTGGACATTTTCATCACAGAACTGCTAAATAAAGTCGTTAGAACGCATCTAAAATGAACAATAAATTAAACCAACAAAAAATGGATGGTTGTGGACCATGGCATTACTCAGCTACGACTCTGCTAGAGACCCAAGGCCAGCAGGGGGCCACGGAGAGTGCTTGAATGTGACAGAATAGACGCTATATTACCTTTGCTTTGTGTGTGTGTGTGTGTTGCTTTGTGATTGACTGGCGACCTGAGCAGGGTGTAACCTGCCTCTCACCCAGAACACCGGCTCCACCTTATGCCTGCAACAAGAAGCAGTTACAGACATTAGATGGATTCTGAAGCCAGGCTAACTTTACTAGCATAATTAGCTAGTAGTTAGCTGTTGGATTTAGGTATGAAAGACAAAAATGACAAAAGGAAATAAAAAACTAGTACAGAATGACTATAAAATAAAAATTATACGAAAAAAAAAACTTGGAAAAACTGCTAATTTAATTTGTGTGGAAAACTAGAGGGACTAGTTGTTACAAATCGGTGTCTATGTATTGTTTGTATGTATTGTATTGTGTTGTTCTAACACAAGGCTAAATGTAACCTTTGCCTTTGTACTTAGTTGCTGATAGTGGAGCAGGGTGTTCTTCTTATAACTTTTAGACATCTTTTACAGGAAATCTGCCACTTTCCAAAAGGTTCACATGGTTGAATGATCAAAGATTTGTGGAGGAGTGTTTCATTTTAGCCAAAGTAAATGAAACAAACACCACCTTTAAGAAAAAGTTGTATCCGCAGAATCCAGTTTTATGCCACACTATTTTCATTACTTTAAAAACAAATATTTTACATCAGATGCAAAATGTCCAATCTGTTTGTATTTGTTTGTAACACAATGGTGCAAAAAGCCTCCAAAGTTATTCTTGTGGTGCAACGATAAACTCCCCCAAATAACTAGTGCGCGATATAAACAAACAAACAAACAAACAAAAAATATGTTCCCAAAATCAAACATGTGAATGTTCCTTTTACTGCTGACGGTGTATTTAAACTCCATCAACCGCCTGTTCAGACAGCAGCAGCTGTGCAAAGACCCGAGGAGGAAATTTTCGCGCACTTCCGCTTTAAAGGCGAAGCAGCGTCCTGCACGAGAGCGTCGCTGTTCACATACCGAGTCGTCATCAGATCAGATCCGCCTTCGGTCCCGACGCCAGGCGGCCGGACCAGCCGCTCTGTGCGCACCGCTGGATTAAAACACGCAATCTGTACTTATTTTTGGAGGGCTTTTCTTTTAACATTTTACAGGAACTTTACGCAGGAAAACCACCGGGTTACACCTGCGTGCCTGCTCTGGTGGCCGACTCTAAAAACCACTTTGCATTCTCTCCTAGACCCCAACTTGTTGATGGGGCGCCGAGGGGCTCTCCCTCAATTCTTATGCGTAATCTGGGTCTAACTCTGTCCGACGGTGGAAGTTTCGAGCAGCGCGGTTTCCTGACAGATGGCTGCGATGGGAGGTGATCGGTAACAGCCCTCGGCGTCGGATTACACAGTCAGGCTGCTGCCAGGTAAAGCAGCAGGATGGGAAACCAGATGGACAGGCTGTCACATCTAAGTTATGCAGAAGTCCCGACGGTGGACCCGAACGGCGTGGACACGGACGACGGTCCGCGGATCGGAGTGTCTTACATCTTCTCAAGCGACGACGACGAGCTGGAGGACGGATGCGTGGTGGATGGCGGAGAAAAACGCGCAAACGAGGAAGAGAAAAACTATGACCAGCGCGACGAGGTGGAGTGCGCTGTCTACAACAGAGAGGAGTGCATCTATGAGAAGAGCGCGAAGTGCGCAAACCTGGAGGTCTACTCCCCGGAGAACCTGCTCAACAAGTGCAAGGCGGGGGACCTGGTGGAGTTCGTGGCCACGGGTCAGTACCCGCACTGGGCCGTGTACGTCGGGGACTTCCAGGTGGTGCACCTGCACAGAGCCGAGATTAAAAACAGCTTTCTGACCGACGCCAGCCAAGGGAGGAGGTGTCGGATCGTGAACGACTGGTACAAACTGAAGCCCCTGTGCGCAGAAGTGGTGGTGCAGAACGCGATGGAGCAGGTGGGGCTGAAGGACCGGGAGTTGAGCTGGAGGAACTCGGAGAGCTTCGCCAGTTGGTGCAGGTTCGGCAAGAGGGAGTTCAAGATGGGCGGGGAGATCCGGATCGGCAAGCAGCCCTACAGGCTGAAGGTGTTCGTGTCGGACAAACAATCCCACGTGTTGGAGTTTCAGAGCTTGGAGGACGTGATCATGGAGAAGCGGAGGAACGACCACCTAGGCAGGACAGCCGTGCTGAGGGAGCTGGCGGCGCATTTCAGAGGCGTGGAGGAGATGAAAAGTGAGATGGGAGCGGAATGATGTCAGTTCCTCTCAACATATCTGTTACACTGATCTCCTGAATCCGTAGCGATCCTCATTAATTTTTAAGGCCTTTGCAAAAAAAACAAAACAAAACAAACAAACAAAAAAAACATTCACACCCCTGAAGTTTTACACACTGTGTCACATTGCAGCCAAAAACCTAATTGCGTTTTGGGGACCAACTCAAAGGAGCACATAATTGTGTAGTAGAAGGAAAATCATGCATAGTTTTAAAATTTTAAACCAAAAATATCAGAAATTAAAGACTTATTCATTTAGCCTCGTTAGGTCCCCTATACATAGAGTTGGAAATTATTCCAGAAATTAACTTTTTGACCTGGACGTAAAAGGGTAAATCTAACCTCTGTACACCATACCCACTGTCAAACATGGTAGTGGCAGCATCATGCTATTTAGATTTAGCAGGTAGAAGGATTTGGTCATGGTTAATGAGGAGCTGAATGGCGGTCAATGTAGGACATTCAAAGCACAGAGATGTTTTAGAATGGCCCAGTCAAAGTCAAGACCTAAAGCTGACTGGAATTATGTGGCAAGACTTGAAAATTGATGCTCTTAGATTGTCTCCATCGAATATAACTGAGGTTGAGCTATTTGGCAAAAATAAGAACAGTTAGCAGAGACGTAACGAGGATTTTGCAGCAAATCATTTATTCAACAGGTTGAATCACTTGGGAATACCACCATTCACTTTCCTCTTCACAGTTGTGGACTTCTTTGTGTTGGTCTATTTGAAAATAATAACCAAACAAATTGAAGTCAGTGGTTGTAAAGTTCATACATTTGAAAACATTTAAAGTGTCTACATTTGTTTGCTAGGCCCTGTAAGAATAACTTCAGCATTTAAGCATTTAATTGACACATGGACATACTTTTGGTCCGTGTTTTTTTTTTTTTTAAGTTTATAATTTAACTGCCTTAAAGCCTCAATCATCATTTCACAACTCAACTTTGACAAATGAAAATGACTGAATCAGCTGTTTATTTTTGCTACAAAATGCTCTCCACTCATAGAATGTAGTTTTTATAAACGCTTTACAAATCCATCCCAAAGTGTCTGGAAGCAGGATGAACACATTCCTTCCGTTTATTTAGATTGTCTCTTTACTTGATCCGGTTGAGATTTAAATTTCATGTCTCAGCTCTCTCAGACTGCTGTGGATTTTATTTTATTTTATTTCTTTTCAGCCTTTTTGGGTGAGTCCAACCCAGCGGCACATGTGGAGGAAATGTTGTGAAGCATTGTCTGTTGAACTGATCAAAGTCTGTGTTAACTGTTCCCAAAGCTTGAGTAAATCATGAGTCACTCTATCTCACCTGGAAGTGATTGTCATTGTTTCTGCTGTTAAAGTTGACCAATACGAAGGTAGAATCACTCTCATTGCGGTCTTTATGCTCGGCGACCATATTAGATTTAGCGACAGATTAATCTCTTGGATGTGCAGCGAACAGATCTGAAGCAGCTCTGTGATGCTTTTATGCTAATATGAGCCAAAATTTATGTGGTACCATGAAAGTAGTTCTGAAGAGTACTAACATGGTGATGGTATATTTTAATTTAGAATATTAAGCACACACTGTAATAATTATTTGTCTAAATCTTGTGACATAGCAAAAATGAACAAATGGTCCATAAGTAGGAGTGCACTGATTGCAGTTTTTTGGCCGATTGCACATTGCCGATCTTTAAAAAACCTCGTCTGCCGATTCCGAGTTTGGCCAATACCCAACTTGTTTGTATGAAGTATCACTAAATATAGCAAGAAAGTCGCTGAGTTGGCAAAATTAGGGTGACTGTTGTTAACTGCTAACATGCAGGCATGACCAGGTGGGTCGGTCTGTCGGTCAAACCTCTCTAAAGGCAGAGCAGAAGACAACAGAGGTTGATTTTTAGACCTTGGCAGAGGTAGATGAGATCGGCTTTACATTCAAGTATCGGCCGATCACCGATCTCTCAAAATTAAGGAAATCAGCACCCGCAAATTTCCTGGCCGATAAATCGGTGCAGCCCTAACCATCAAAAATCCCACAATTTCTAAAGCAACTTGTTTTTGGAAGCTTAAAGCTGATGCTTTTCTAAGTTCCTCTAGCAGCTCTAGCTGTGCTGTAATTGTAAAGCTAGTTCATTCATAAAAACGGAACAACAGGAAATGCTGCTTTATTCCTGTCCTGCTCTGTATTGATGCTTTCTTAAATGGAAATGCTATAAGAGCTTCTTCAGATGAAAAAAAAAAATAGCAACCCATCATTTCACAATGATGCTAATGAATTGACTGGTAAACGTAAAGCAGTAGGAGTTAAAATGATCAAGTATCTCCACAAGAGTGTGATGAATAAATACCAAATCAGAAGGTCATGGTTGGCAAGTTGGCAGTGCTGAAATTTTAGATTTTAATATTTAATTGTAGCAGCTTGAAAACTGAGAAAAGTTCTGAATTAATTTTTCTTAAGGGGTAAAAAAGGAGTTGTTAAAATGAATAATTCATCACTTGAACTTCATAGACCCTTCGTGGAAGTAAGATGTGGCTATGCTTTAATTTTCGTTGCTGGGTTTTTGGCCAACTTTCACCACGGCATAAACTCTAGGAATAATAACAGCTCAGACTATGCTAATATACAATACCTATTTAATCACCTTTGCACAAGAATGGTGCTGCAATTTATAAAGATTTCAGCAGCCAACAGCTGGTGAGGGAGCACATGTGCATTTAGATTAGTGATGAATAAAAGTGAAGCAATAGCAAGAACTGCTGCTTGAGGCCCTGCTCTCAGAGTTCAAATGTGGGCCAAAATAGTTGATTTTAACAAAACAATACATTGAAAAATGATTGTTTCTTGACAAAACAACAAAAAGTGGGAAAATTAAGTCATGTCCATGCAAGAAAACGCTTTGTTTCAATTATGTAGTTAGAGGCATTTTCTTTTTGTGCAGGGTTGCCGACTCCACTGCTAACCTTTAGGACTAATAATTTGAAAATATGCACAAATAGCACTTATATTGCTGTAATTGTATAGAAGGCCACATTACAGCAATCTCATCACAGTAATTGAGGTAAGACCCTTGGATCACAAACAATTACTAATTATTGTTCTGTGTTGCACATGTTAATTTATGCTTCCATTCCTGCGGGAATCGCTCCGGGGCAGTTATTGATTTGCGTCTCACGTAGGCTGAAATGAAATGAGGAAATAACCTCAAACACTTTCAATTCACCCACAGAGATTAAAACTTTGTTGAGCCAGAGCAGCTTGTTGTTTGGCGAGAATACGTGAACGTCGCAAGACTGCAAACATCTTTAACGCAAGGCGGATTGATTGTCTAATTTATGAAGAGTCAGGGGGAAAAAAAAAAAAAAGCTTCATAATTGTCATTGTTTGGGCTATGATTTGCAACAACTTCGATTAATATAATTGGAAAATAAACGTTAAAAGTGTGTCAAACATGAAATCCTTTCGGAGTCAGCTGGACAAACATCATGTTGCGTCGTTTGCAGAATAAACCGACCACCATCAGCTGAAACAAACCTTTGCAACCAAAGGTTTGTTTCAGCTGGCCTGCAGCATTTTAATCAAGTTAGGATATTAAATCCTCCTAACAGAGTCTTGTCAAGCTCAGCTTTTTCAGCAGCATGCCAGACACTTTTATATTGTACCAGGAGTCAGTTAATGAGACAGAAGTGCATGTTAGCAGATATTACTGCCATGGCTGTAAGGAAGATGAAACAAGGTTAATACATTCAATCAAATGTTCATATAAAGTTTCATGAGGCATTTGTCTTGAGTCATAGCAGCACATGGTTAGTTTCTTGGAATTTTAACTAAAATCACAAATCTATTCATTTTCCGTAATTAGTTAAGCCTTCAGGGAGGCTTGTACCTCGGAGGTTCACCCTGGTAGGCTAAGCCAACAACTCTGCACACAAACATAATTAACTTAACGTGTATTTTTTATTTATTTTTTGGACCTAAGCAGAAACATGGAGTACGATTTGAAAACCCATGAGGAACAACTTGCAGGTTCCTAAGGTATGAAATCAAAAAAAAAAAAAAAAAAAGGAGAAGCATAAATAAAACACATTTAATAAGTAATGAATAAAAACATAAGGTAATGCTTGTGTTTTTAAAAAGAGTGCTCTTGCAGAGAACTGGAATCCTAATGTGCCTCGCCGTAAATGCAATTCCTGGCGTGGATTCCACAGTGTCAAACCCGACTTTTTCTTCAGTTCGGAACAGATTTTCAATCTGAGGTCCGGTCCCAAATCACTCTTAATCTATCAGTTCTTTTTTGTTCTGTGTTTGTAGCAAACGTAAAAATTTCTTCTGTCTATTCCTTCACAAAGGAACAGATATCTGGAGTGCACAACTAGTGATGATGCTATGAGCAAAGAGTTAGAGCCGAGTTATGGATCTCTGCAGCTCCTCCAGAGTTAATATAGACTTATTGGCTGTTTCTCTTGGTAAAGCTGTTTTTGCCCAATCAAATGTCGGAAGCTGAGTGAAGTTACCCCTACACCCCACTGTCTTCAAATCAGACAACATTGGTGTCAAACGTTTGTGTTGGTTTGCGCAGTATATATTTCCGTGTGTGCTGCTATCATTTTACAGATATTAAGAAATATTTCCAGAGGTCATGAAAGGTCAACCAGCCCCCACCCCTCCGCCTTCTTCAAATCAGATAAAATTGGTGTCAATCAACTCGAGCTTGTTTGTGCTGCAAAAATTTTGTATGTGCTGCTTTGGCTTTGAAGATGTCAATGAAAGTTTAAAGGTAATTTTGATTTAGTAAAAGTGTGTGTATGTGTGGGAGGTTGGTTGACCTTTTGACCTTTAAACTTTCTGTAATATCTTCAAAGCCAAAGCAGCACAAATATTTTTTTGCTGCACAAATATAGTTGAGTTCATTGACACCAATTTCTTCTGATTTGAAGAAGGCAGGGGGGCTGGTTGACCTTTCAGGACCTCTGGAAACATTTCTTAATATCTTTAAATGGATAGCAGCACAAACAAACATTTTTGCTGCACAAACATTTGACACCAATTTCGTCTGATCTGAAGATTTTCACTCAGGTAATGTCCGCGGGTCACTTAATCGGGCATATCACCTCCGAGATATGTGTTGGCCTAACTAACACATAAAATCCTAATACAACACAGGGACGTTTGAGGTTTTAGTTAAAAAAACAGAAATTAAGGGGTTTCAGGCTTCTACAAGATACCACAACAAAATCAGCATCATGTGAAAGGCTGATTCTTTCACCAGCTGCTCAGTGGGAAATATTAGCGATCTAAGTGAATTGTCTTGGGCTCAGCGGAGCGGATTGAATATCTTTAACTTATGAATATTTTCAGCACAGACCAATAGGGTGTAAATGTAGAGAAGTGGTTAATCATTGCTGAAAAACAAACCAAGCAGCCTAGAGATTCTTGGAAATGAAATGCTTCAAACTTAAAAACTGTTACTAAAAGATTTTTTTTTTTTTTTTGAAGGTCTACTTGAGAATTTATTTTTTCTTATCTTTCTGCCTTTTGCTTCACTGGCACTTTATGTAGTTTGCTGATAAATCCTTTCCTCACAAGTTCTCTTTCTACCCCGAAGCAATTTCTTGACCAAAAAGGAAGCCAAGACAATAAAAGAGAGGCATATGTGTTTTAATCAAAATGCCGCAGCTACAGCCAGGACAACCTCCACATTGATTTCCCGAAATGCATTTTTATTTTTGCACACATATATATTTCCGCCTGCAAATAAGTAACGTGTTCAACAGCACTTACAGTGAATCAGCAGCCGTCCGGCGTTAACTGCTTCCTTGGCCTCTTCGCTTTTTTATGGGATGTGAAAGCTTGGACAAGGCAGAGGCGGACTAATTACAATCAGCTGTCAGAGCTCACCTACAGCTACGTCTCATGGCTTCGGCTGCTGTCTGGGTTTTTTGTTTCCACCGGAGGCTGATGAGATGATGAGATTATCTGAATTATAAGAGAAGCACATGGCGTACATCTGCCCCCTACTGTGCGAGATAAAGTTGGTGAAGAATACGAATCAAAAGTTTTCACACAAACGGAGCTCACCATCTGTTTTCGTTTCTTCAAACAAGCCGATTTTCTAAAACACACCAAGAACTAAAAGCCCCCCCCCCCACCCCCCACCTTCTGACACTTTAGGATATTTAGTTTTCCTTCTTTATGTCACACTGAGATTTAGAAAAGAAAACTTATTAAAACATTAATAAAATACTTACTCTTCTGTTAGAGATGATTTTTTTTATCCATGAGATGCTTGAGTTCTTTTCACAAAGAGCCCAAGAAGCATTTCAACGCAGATGTCTGAATTTCTAAAGTTTTTATGCCTTTTTCTCTTTGGTTCAGTGCAAGGTTAGAGTCATTTGAAACAAACACCAGGTTGATTTTCTTATTTACTCTTTTATATAATCATTTTGTAAGTACAGTGCTGTTCAAAGTTGCACATACAAATGTTAAAATTCCTGGATATTGAGACTTTAAAAATGCCATCAATTAAACATAGAAAATCTAATAGACCTGACAAAATGTTCTGCTGTGTTTGTAGTTTTTCTTGTTATTAGATTTTGTTTTGCATTTGCATCGTTTATCCTGAGTCATGCATTGCAGTAAAGCTACAACAATGTTAGCCCTGCAACAAAAACACGTCAAGAAGCTGACGAAGAAGCTGGGTTGCAAGACAGAAGAGGGACAACGTCCAGACTCAGTTGAAATGCTAAATATGTTATGGTAGCAGGGAGCAAAGCTGGAACTGTAGATTGTGAAGAAGTGTGGACAAAAAGCAAGATTCAATAAAAAACATGCTGTAAAGTTTAGAGTAACATATGTTAGTGGCGTTATCCTGGTTTGGGGTTATTTTTCTTCAGATGAACTCTGAGCTTTTGTCAAAGTTGATGAAACTAAAAGGAGAAGGATGAAGAGGGTAAAAAACATCTGGTTTGAGAGAAAATCTGACACAAAATCAGTGGAATTACCCGAGGAGGGTTTAGGAAAAGACACGTTTTCACAATCTTAAAGATTTGGACATCTTTTGCAAGGCAGGCTGGACAAATATTACTAAGTCAAGGTGTGGCCTGCT